TCCAGAAACCGGTCACAGGCCTCAAAATTCACCAGAATGCACAAAATATAGCCTAATTTTTTTTTAATTCCCAGAGGGCATGCCCCCGGACCCCCCTAGCTGCAGAAGAACATATCGAAACTGGTCACCCAAACCCTCTGGATCCGCCCCTGACAATGTATGTATTTTGTGACAGCATCGGTCAGTAGACGACATTAACGTTTAGCGCGTGTTGCGCTCTGCACCAGTTACAATGTGATATTTTACAGTCGCACACACACGCTCGCTCGCTCGCACGCACGCACGCACACATATATCCAGTGGACCCCCGCTTTATCGGGGTAGGTTAAGAACATAGAAATAACATACTAGTTAGACTCTTTAGTACTGTAGTGTCTATATAATTGTTATGGTCAAGAACCATAAAAGTGTCGTGATTAAGCGGTGAACAAATTTACGGGTGAAGGCATGTAATATCGCCGGCTGTAATCAATGTCTATGTTTCTTTTCCGGATTTTGCGGGCGTACAGAAATTTTGGCCATTACTAGTTGATGTGACAAATTGCATTGCATGTCATGCTGCGCAAACTGAGAAAATGCATAAATAGCAACATTGCTTCTATTAGTTGTAACGGTGATATATACTCGTTTATTAAGAGAAATGAATAACAGTCGAGCATGATTAGTTTTATGCGGTAAACGTCCGCATGAACAAGTAATAATAACCCTGTAGTTGTCCACAGCAGCGCTTAGAGCATATTGGCACATTAATTGCATCCGTCTATATAGGTCGCATATATATCCGTCTATATATAGTATAGTCTGCAGGTAGCAGCAGTGCGTAACACAATGGCACGGTTCTCTTCACTAATACTACCATCAAGAGTAAATAATAGAGATATCCATTATTCTAAATCTCTCGAGATCTCTGAATCTCTATTATTCACTCCTGCTACCATGGTACGTACGTCCCATTAGGTCAAAGCCCGTAGTACCTATAATATTTCTCATAAAAATCGACATTTTAACAATTGAAAAATAACAGAATCGTCGAATATTCAAACATTGTGAACGTGACCGTTTTTTCTTCAAATATACCAAACATTATTAAAATATTATCTTACATAAAATATAGCCACACTACTACTCCAGTACAAATGTTTTTAACGTGCTTCTTTTGAACATGTGAAACTTCCACCCTTTTATAGAATAAACGCTTAAAAACCATGTGTATAGGTAATCGAATGTAGAATGGTCTCATTTACATATAAGCATTGTCATCAGGCATGATATACGGCCACCATAGTGATGAAAATACAGGCACTGATAAAAGGTTACGACACGTACATATTGACCATGCGGCCGGTGTAAGAAAGATCAAGAAGTGATAAAATCATGCGTATAAAATACTATAACTTTTGAAGTGAAGTTACACAAAAGTCATGACACTTATAACATTTTACACTTATAACGTCATAACTATTAACAATCTTTCTAATAACGGCCACAGAGTTCTTATGCTTACATGATATATCCAAATACATCAATTAGCAAATCACAATACATTGAAAACAATCCAAGAAAAGCAAACAATTTTGTTTGCTATTGGTTGGTTTTGTTATAGCTTCAATAAACCCTTACTATACATTACAACTAATTAAGAGAAATTCGACCAAGCTCTAACAAGTATTGTCTAATATTTTGGCTTTTTAACCAGCTGATAGGGGTCTACAAATTATTGTATAATCTGACCAAATCTTTTACAAGGATTTGGTTTTTTAATCGTATTAATTTTTACAGTAATCGAACTACGTTTATTTTCTGAAACAGTAAATAAATCATAGTACTATTTCCTGTTGAAGGTCATGAGGTTATGAGCTTCACTTATTAATAGATAAAACGTTTTACACTCACTTCGATAGTCATTTCAAACTGCTAGAAAATGATAAAAATAGGCATTTGACTAGCACACATTTTATCCACGACATTGATGTTTTATGTAGACTTTTTATGTTTCAAATGTAGCAAACATAAAATCATACGCGTAAAAAATACATAATCATGTTAAAATTAAGGTCCATCTACCGTGCAATTCAAATACAGCAGTCAACCACCGAAATCTACGTTTGATTATATATATGATTTATATATACTTGCATTGTACCTATTTGCTTATCCAATATTCAAATTATTAACGGAAGGCACTTCAATGTACTTCTGGAGATATTTGTGAAATGTCAATATTGCTGAATACAAGCGACACTACTGCGATATAATAGCCCTCAGGTCAGTAATACGATTAAAGACCATCAACATATCCCTGTAATAAGGAACTATTGTTGATGTTGCGTTAGACGCCCAGTTAGAGCACACAACAGTGCTTGGTTCATATCTCTATCATCATACGGCACAAGACTGAAACTTTCTTTTAATGATCGATATCTTTGCAACCATAAGTTTAAGTGGCTACAAAACTGGCAATAAAAATCATCCATTAACTGCTCTGTTATTATACCATCCTTCATCATGAAGCGCAGGCAACGCAGTGGGGTTGCGTACTCTGCCAGGAAAAATGCACTTTCTAGCTTGTAAACTGTGCTTTTCCCTACTAGACGTTGACCTATGCCTTTTGTGCTATCAGGAAAGTGATCCATGTCTTTCTCAGCTACAACTGATTTCTCATCGTCAGATACACAATCAAATGTTTTGCACGTCCTGGGCAACAGCACTAGGAGTTTTCTTACCGGAAAAGAATCGGTACTGCTTGCCTGCCAGTCCATTTTACTAGCGTCAATTCTTGTATCACCATCGCCTTGGTAAACCCCTTCAGAGTAACTAGTTTCATGAATATTGTAACCACTATTATCATCATCATCGTCATCATCATCGTCAAGAAGGACCTTAGCCTTGTGCCGCGTGCTAAGGAAGTTTGTGACAGTTTTCTTCAACTCTGGGCCATAATTTCTGAAATACAGGTTTGCCCATCGCTGCGCAAGCAAAATGCCTATAGGCATCCAACTTTGAAATTCCAATTTTAAACTTTTACCAAGCAATGTAGCAGAAATTTTCAGCCAATCCGGTTCTCTATCCTCCAGTTGAAATCCATGTATTTTGTCTTCTCGCCATAGCTTGGCCATTTTCTTCACTGTAGCATCTACAGCATTTGGTTTCTTGTCATCAAATGGAACTAGTACGAAGGGACATTTCACTTGGGAATACCTCTTGGATAGGATTTGCTGCAGCGTGATATGAAACCAATACAGCTCATTGTTTCTCTGCTGATGATCGGTGTCTGTAAGCTGTAACCCTTTCAAACAGGTGGGATAGTCACAAGGAATGTAGTAGTCTTTGCCACCACACCTACGTTTATTAAGAGAAACAGAATACTTTTTCTGTCGTACACCGCACAGGTTCTTCTTTGTTATGGGAACAGTCTTCTTTTCAGTGTCCGACTCCAACAGCTTTGTCATTTGCCCAGTAGTCTCTTCCGATAATCGACAGCTCTGTGAGTAGAGCATTAAGAGCTGTGGCATCACTGTGGCACCAGCCATCTCTTTATTGTTCCAGGCCTGCAACTCGCTCGATAAGTCATCCTTAATTAAATCCAGTAATCCAGACCAGTGCCAGTACGCCAATGTAATGCCCCATCCAACAACCTTGGTTCGCTAGTCATTGAAAAATGAACACATTTCACTAACGTCCTTTATCATCAAAGACGAGATTATAGAACACAATATAAACAATGGAATCATTTAAACGAGACTAGTGTTAGTATATTATATTTCATACGAGTGGTGATTGAAGAGTCTGTATTGCTACAAATAATAAACAAACCATGGAAGCACTGTCAATATTTATTTGTCCCAAATATTTATCTCAACGCTTATCATTCATAATATTTGCTGCTCATAATTTTTAGTTGTTCAAACATTTCAAGATGGCATGTACTATGCACTCAAAAATCACACTCCATGTTTAATTACAGCCAATTTGATGTACATTGACTTCTTCATTATTCATAGGTTCATTGTGCAGTTCTACATAAATATTGAATTTAACTGTAAGTAATACAACTAGCTACTTCTTAGCTTACTTGGAATTTTGAAACAAAAACTTTATCAGTGATTATACCATAACTAATACTATACTTACAGGAGGTGGATTGAAGTTGAAGTCTTTTTGTAGACAATTATCGCACACTGATATCTGCTTCCTTGTAATTGCATTCGTAACCACTTCTTGTTCTTCTAGCGCTGACATTTTGGTGTTCAGCTTTATTGGAGAATGTATGAGAAATCTATGTTAAATTTACAATTTCACATCTTCACTTCAATAAACACGAGCTTGATGAACTCTGACTTTAGACATGCCACATGTACAAACATGGTGGTTTATGGGAACAATGTTTTGTAATAGTGTAAGCTAACTAATTATCCAAGTTGCATTTCATCACATTTATAATTATTATTACACATTCTAAAACTTTGGGCGCATTATTTTTCTGAAAGGTGTTTGATATAATAAAATAATTGTAAACCTTGTGAGCAAGGCAATCCAGGTTACTCCAGTATGCTTCTGCCGCAAACACTTCAGCCAGAACATTGATAAAGTAAGAGCCTGTTTCTGTGTGTCGCATTGCTTGTGCACCTGCGATCAAACATAAAAAGTATTAGGTTTTTTATGTGATGAAGTTCAATAACAACAGTTCACGGATACAAGGCCCATAATCTTTCTGTGATGTGTATTACATATTCACGTTGGTTGCTATGATCCACCGTTAAATGTATACGTTACATTTCCCATTCATAGTTCTATAATGGTAGTGCAGACAGAAGACTGTGTCAATGTTGTAACAATATATAGCGCTCATGCGTAGCGTTGACTCTGGCTAAGTTTAGAGGATCTTCTGTAATAGCACCGGTCACCACGGTTCCCAGCTAGGTAATTGTGAGGTAGCTCACTGGGAACCACGGGCAGGGTGTGTGTTAATATTCTGTGTTTGTGATTGTATAATTATTTGTGAGGTCCGGTGTCATTTAGTGTGCGTTTTAGTAGTGTTTTGCCTGCTCACCATAAATATACCCGTGAACGGGACCACACAAATTGACCATTAAGCTCAACTAAAAGTATCTAAATTAAACACTTGCTTCTTTGACAGGATACAAATTCATCGTGCCGACTAAAATTACAGAAAACCGCTTTGCGCTAGCTCCACTCACTTACTGCCAGTCTCAAGCCGAACACGCACTTGCTACAACTATAACTGGCTTCTAACACACACACACGTGGCGTCTAGCGAATTGATACGTTAACAAATCTAAACAAACCTGTGTCTAGACGCGCTACTGTAAACGAAAAATATTGCTACATAGGTTGGCTTACCCTCCAGTAGGTGACGCGTGCATCACAAAAACAAACTAGCTTAACAAACCCCTGCTTCGTGAAACAGTCACGATTACTTCTACAGTCCAACATGACTGTCACAGAAACTGAATGTTACGTACAGTAGTTAACCCGAATATCCAACCGAATTAATTAACCCAAATATCAAAGTTGTACAACACATGCACTTGATTAGCGTTTTCCACTACACAAATGCCTGACTGTATCATATATTGTTAACGCAAATTATAAATCGAGCTTTCTCGGATTTTTGACCATTCTGCCTGAACGGGTATGATAATTTGGATAGTCACTGGCACTCCCAGTATTTGGAGCACGCGCTGGCTTACTCTCAATCGTTGCCTTGAATCTGACGTGTTTTGTTGGGGACCTCACACCTATCTCTGGGGGTGGAACTGGTTCCTGGTCATCTTGTCCTGGGGGATATAAGGGGTCCTCAATTCCTCATTGGTTTCCCGGATGAACCGACGATTCCTGCTGAGATTGTTGCCGTCAGATGTTTGCACCTCATACGAACGTGGTGCCTCATGTTTTCTTGTGACGACTGCGGCTTCTACTTGTGTGTATTCTCGTCATGTACTCTGACCGATTGACCTGGCGACAGAGGGGACAGTGTCTTGACAGATTTCTCGTCGTGATAAATGATACAGTTGACGTATACTTCAAAATCATTAATCATCCGGTAACGCCAACTGCAACACCTCCAACGCTAACCATAACACTAAACATATATATCTCGGAGCGCTATATATAGGTCCAAAAATCCACAAAAATTAATCTATGGTGTGGGGACAGATATCATGATGCAAAAATCCCTAACCCTAACCCTAACCCTAACCCTAACCCTAACCCAATCCCTAACCCTAAACCTAACCATAATCCTAAACCCTAACCCTAACCCTAACCCTAACCCTAACCCTGACCCTAACCCTAATCCTAACACTATCCTAACACTAGTGCTGCCACGTTGCGGTCACCTCCCTCCACGCCCGGGGGATAGCATTACTCAATAAATGCAGTTTACCGTTTAGTTTCATTCTCAATCTTATCTGCTATTCTCTCTACATGGTTACACTCCCCGGCTAACTAAATATTGAAACATTGTGTTAGGAATGCTGGTCATCGTTTGAGATGCCTAAACTGTGAGTAATCTGTGAGAATTCACGTGAAATTACTGTCTGAGTGCTCCGATTCTGACAACTTCGTGATTCCCGAAGTACATTAGACTGGGTAGCAAGTACTGTAACTATGGCTGAGAGGGTCTATGTCCCCCAGGATACTACCGGAACGTCAACGTTATTGAACTGCCTCAATAATTCACTCGTCTCACATTAGCATCGAAGTTTGTCTCCGAAGGGCACGTAAAACTGTATATTGGCCCAACATGAATGCTGAGATTCGCGAGTACATCAGTCGGTGTGAGAGCTGTCGGACCTACGAAGACAATCAGCAGAAGGAAACTCTCATTTCCCATGACATACCAAACCAACCGTGGTCAAAGGTCGGATGTGATCTGTTCGCAATACATGAGAAAAACTACTTCATAACCGTGGACTATTTTTCAAACTTCTGGGAAGTTGACTATCTCCCAAATACGAAGTCGTCGACGGTGATCAGAAAGTTGCGTGCTCATTTTGCACGGCACGGTGTACCAAACACGGTAATCAGCAACAACGGCCCACAATTCAGTGAGGAGGAATTTAGCAGATTCGCGAGTAAATGGGGATTTGATCATGTGACATCTCCAGGCTACCTGCAAAGCAATGGGAAGGCGGAACAGGCTGTGAACTTGTGAAGACAGCTAAACGTCTCATGCACCTAGCCAAAGTTTCAAAGACTGATCCTTACTTGTCGCTTCTAGCCTACCCTGTCACAGTCTATGGACAGCAGTCCAGCTCAAAGGTTAATAAACCGTCGCACTCAAACGCTACTGCCAATGAAGGCAACTCTACTAAAACCACAGATTCCGAAATCTGTGTCACGTCAATTAGAGGCTATAAAGGAGAAACAGGTGCTCTATTACAATTGTGGCGCGAGAAACCTAGAACCGATCACGGTGGGTGACACTGTTCGTATTTCACCTTCGCAAAGACAGAAGAAGTGGAAACAAGGTACAGTACAACAAGAGGTGTCCACACGATTGTACAACGTCGAAACGGAATCCGAAAGGATCTTGCGGCGTAACCGTCGTCATCTACGTAAATCGGCAGAGGACAAGCAGCTACGGGATGTGCAGGAGTATGAGGACATTCCGGTGACACACTCGGACACAATACCAAGTTATCCAAGAACTGTTGATGCATCACTGCGAGCTGACAGGCCAATAATCGCAGGTAGTCCTCCCAAAAGACTGCCACATAAGGTAAAGACATCGACACGCAGTCCAGTGTTTGTGCTGAGATGTGGCAGGAAGGTTTACAAGCCTGTCAAACGTAATCTGTGAGACGTACAGTGCAATGATGAACCAATCATTATTCAAAGTAGCATCATGACAAGTTAATTCGAGTTAATTTTACTATAAAGTGGTGTTTAGATGAGTCAGACAGTTTGAAGCATTGCAAGACTGAATTAATTTAATGTACTCAAGATAAAGGGTATAGTTAACTTCTATAGAAATCGGAAGCAAGATTTTCTTGTCTATGTCGAGACTCTGTAATGTTTTTTGTTGTTGAGTAACGGTCAACGGTAATTAGTTTGAAGTTTATTCTTTTATAAAGGAGAAAAGATGTAACAATAGATAGTGCTTATGCGCAGCGTTGACTCTGGCTAAGTTTAGAGGATCCGACATATAGCCAACAATGAAACATGTCTCTTGATTCGTAATAAATGCAGTTTACCGTTTAGTTTCATTCTCAATCTTATCTGCTATTCTTTCTGCATGGTTACACTCCTCGGCTAACTAAATATTGAAACAAATGTGACAATGCCTTGCCTGTTTCTACATAAAATGACCTGTGACGTTGTGAACATAAAGACAAATTAAGAGAAGCCTTTTAATAGGATAGATATATCTCAGAAAATTGGTTATTCTACCAGTTTACTTTTCTATTACACTACAGCGCAGCAGTAAAATAACGCCACACAAACATCTTCATCGTGAGATTGGCCACAGCTTTTGCTAGAATTTCGTAGGTGCCGAAATACTGATTAGTGGAGATTCAATTAGTACTATGTGGACCGAAACAGGAGAGCCCTAACAACATCAGAACTATTACATCGAAACCACAGCATGTAGTGAAATACGGCGTTTCGTCATAGGCATAGAGACATAGGAAATCGGACTACATTAATAGACAATAGAATTGCAGCGTCGACAGAATAGGGCAAGGGAACGATTGGTAATATAATCACGCAGGCGTTGCAAAACACATTAGCAACGTCCATAAGGGCGAGGAGACTCGTTCTCAGACAAGACGGGGACAGTAAGAAAATGTGGCAACCGGGACATTAAAAGAAAGTGAACGTGGGAATGAGGAGAAACGATTGCCTGAATACACCCGACGTAATAACACCAGCCAATAAGGCAACGCATAATGTGAGCGGTGCGCCATTGGGCAGACGAGGTCCATAACACCACACAATAAGGCGACGCGCATAATGTACCTATTAAATTGCTTAAATGCTAAAATAGCTAGACCACTTACACAGCTTACCCATAAGAACACACCTTTTCTGTGGACTTCTGAAGCAGAGAATGCCTTTCAATAAGGTAGAATCAAGATTTATTTACATGTAGAGTTTACAAGGACTGTGGACGCCTTCCTCCCTCAGAGAACGAGTTGTATGCTTATGATGACATTGATATTTGTGAATGACTCCTGAGCTCCTTCTCCTAATTGTGCAGGGGTAAACACTATTTACTTATGGTTATTTTAATTAGAAACTTACCTGGAGTTGTTGGACGAAATACTATATAATCACTCAAGTTTGGTAACAGTTTTGCCTTTTCTGTTTTGAATGAAGCTGCAGGGGGTAGTGAGTCTGTAGCCAACTTTCCCATCCACTCTTCCGGCTGATCATTGCCTCCAGCCACATCCGTCCCTTGATTCCGACGGTATAAATAAAATACAAACCACGCAAGTGTTCAATCTTACGATGCACATACACATAGCTTTTAAAGTCACAATAATTGCAGCGTTTATTCATATATATATATTCATGAGCAAACTGTTATAAAGGAGGACCCAGAGCAAGAAAATAATCAAATGCTGTTTTGTTCATATTTATGATAGGCACTACAGACCTTTACTTTTATACTAGTAGGTAATTCGTTTTTTACATCATTCGCCAAATTTTAAATTGCTTTTATTAGCAACCATAAAGCTATTGAGAACCTAATAAATAAATGTGGAATTGTCATGTTTGAGAAAATAAACATATTAGAGAGTATATTAATAAATATGGCACTAGAACTATGAAACTAGGACAACATCTACAAAATATAGCTATCACAAATTGACCTTTTTAGACGGTCATTTGTCAATACTATAGGTAATATTGCATGTACATGTGCAAGCGACTCAGCATGAATTCCTATATACGTCATACCTCCACGACACGCTTGAAGAATGAACAACTTGGGTTTCTGCATTAGACCCCGTGCATTGTGTCCTGCCAAAAGAGCACGGAAAACAGGTAACCTTTTATTTGTGATCTTGAGGGATATGCTCACAATACCTAAATTCGACACGTTCGTTATTTATTGTTAATGGGAATTCGCTTTACATTACACCTATGTAACCTCTACTAAATACTTAACGCAGAAGGTAGATTAAAATTTTTTACCTTCGAATCGATGAAGAATGTCATTAGCAAATGAAAGCTCTTCGCCGTCTGCTCCAAATATCACGTCTTCCGCACCACCATGGCTTAAGATGGCAACAATGCTCGAGTCGACATTTTTGTGTTTGTCACTAGCAGCAAACGTTTGCACAACATCTTTTATTTCCTACGAGAACAAAAACCAATCACTTCCGCAAGTCATACCTTGGTGAAGTTGGCCATCTAATCGCTGGCCAGCTTATTTGCCACTCAGGCAGTTTGCTTATAAATTTAATAAAATAAAAAATAGCTAAAACCAAAAATATATGACCTCTTGCATGAAGCCATTGTTTAATTATAGCGAATTAAAATAACAGCTTAGTTTATTGTATCTGTAATATTTTTGCTATTGCAAGAACGTCACAAATTGTGCTTTGGCTTAAATAACCTCAGCAGTCCTTGAGTATGCTTTGTTTGGTTGTTAGTAGAAACTATAGTAACAACTTGTCGGTTACCTTCGCAGTCAAATTACTTGTGTTTGCTTGTGTATCCCACATCTCATAGCCAAGATCTTTAAATAGTTGACGCAGAGTCTCTACATCTTTCTGCGATCCCTTGCGGAATTTTTCCGGGTCCTTGAATTTTTCATTATTAATGATCAAGCAATATCCACGTGGAGTCGAGTTGTTTTTGTAGCTATTTGTCTGCAAAATAATATAATATTAGTATATAATTGCAGTTATTTTATCGCTCAGATAACAGGTCTATTATTGCACATTGCATAGACTTAGCTCAGTAACTGCACGTACCATATCACACAAATTACTTGTGCTTCGAGCAACCTTAATGCCAACAGATGCCATCGAAAATTTGCACAATGCCCTTGATATGTTTCGTCTTTAGATGGAACTCGTCAGCCGTATATGAGAAGTGGCTACTTGGTCGCTACAGATTTTTTTGGAAACCTAAAAGTATATCAAAAACAGTTAGTGATCTAGTGCAGGTAAAAAGTACTAGGATAGTTTTTTTGCATAAGCGAACACTCTACGAGGAAGTATTGGTATAATAACATTTTTAATTCCAACTGTTCATATAATCATGTGATTATGTGTTGCCATTAAAACTGAGAAAACCAATAGCTATCACACACGAGAGCCACATTACCCCGACCACAGAATACGTTATTGAAGACATAAATAGATGCAAAATGATCAACAAGCTAGACCTAAAACAAAGTCAGTATGAGACAATACTACCCCACGCCTTGGCATGTTACAATTCTCTCCACTCACATTGCACTATTTACAAAAGGCAAAATTTTGGCCAAATGTCATGTTCGGCCGAAAATTTCCAAAACAAATATCACTGGTGCAATTTGTGGATAACTTGGTCATCCAAGATGACATCTACATAGACAGAAAGGACATTGAACAGCAGGATAACTGTCTTCGCGTTACATTATGCCGACCAACTTGACAGTGAACTTGCCAAAGTGTCCGTTCGGGATACAAGTACGGTGTGTTTCAGCCATATGGTAATTGCTACTAGCCATAACGCTTTTCACTACGTGGTGAGAAACAGTCTTACGACATGAAATAGTCGTAGAGCCTGGTCGAGCCACCACACAACTAGTACTGCTGCACGCTATACATTCTTCTAACCGCAAGGCTGCCAACATTGAGTTAGAGTTGTGAGTGAGATTATGTCAGGGAGCTGGGCGACAGAGCGGGAGGAGGGTGTGGAAGGGGGGACCTCCCACACCAGGGAGCTTTTGCATTTTTCAGCTTGAAATTGTGGAATCAATTTCTGGTGCATACTTAAATGAGTTTTTAAACATAAGCCTACACAGGGGGTAGGAGTCCAACGGACTCCCTACCTTCAAAAAGAGTGAGTCCGCAGCAAAATGAGGGAGTCCGCAGTCTGAGGTTCAAAATTAAAGATATTAACAATAACGCATAAGCTTATTTTTAAGATTCATGCAGTTGCACGTCTGCCAAATTTTCTTTGGACAATGCGCTGAACAAATACAGTAATTCCGCGAGGCCGTGCTCCGGAACGAACTAGTTAGTATGGCAGAATTTTCAGGGAGTCACACGGACTCCTGCATATGTCAAATCAGGGAGTCCGACAGTAAATCAGGGAGTATTTGATTCCGGGCTCCCGTTAATTTCGCACCTTGCCTACACACGTATGTAATGCAATACACTACACAGTATTATGTTTAGATGGATTAGGTACATGTACAAACACATATGTATGGACGGCTCAAAACAACACATCACTAGATCCTGCTTGGAAATGGAATTGTATTTATATAGTCATATATGACCTCTACTGCTCAGTCCTTTATTCTGCGTATAATGTGACATATATAGTTGCTTCTTCAGCTTCTTATGCAAAACTCACTTACATAAAACCAAGAGCTAATAATACCTAGAGTGTACAACGGAAAAACGGGAAAATGGTGCTATTTCACGACAACATTCTTCTACTTTGCCTGCGAGTCTAAAATAATTAGTCTAATAAGCATTGCTTCGTGAAAGTTCGGTTTTTCTGCGATAACTTTATGAATGAACGGCGTTTCGGTTATCATAGGTGACTT